GAGGGACTATATGTTCAATTCATCATTCATATTACGACATCACCATGGTTTCAGATTGGCCATGTCAATGAAACATGCTCCGACAGGGGGACATATATGTGCCTTACTTTTAGTTATAAAATACAACTGGTAAAAATTTACCAATGCAAATGGTGTCAGTTGTACCTATGTACAGTCAATCCTGATGTAAATGCCACAAATTGGAGCAGATTTGATTACATTGGGGCCTAAACACAGTGAGGTTTATATACAGGTACTTGTTACATACGAGTGGCCCCTACATAAATATTCATCCTATGAATTGTAAGCTGACTTCCTGAAACCTACCGGTTTATTCCCACCTAGCCCACATTTGAAAATATCACAGGTACAGGTAGCTTTCACACCTTTTTTATCTGAGGGTTATAGTTTGTCTCAATTAATTAACCACACCTAGAAGTAACCCCAACATCGCACTGAAGCATCCAAGCTTGTGTATATTAAAGAATTGTCTTTGTTTTCATGAACAGTTTTATACCTTATTAGTTAATTATAGAACAGTAAATAGAATGTGGGCTAAGTGGGAATACAGGAACCTACCCACATACAGAATGGACATCAATGTCAACAGAAAATATTCCGTTAAAAACATAAGATATTTATACATTAGAAATAGTGATAACAAGCATGTTGTGTTCTGATACAGCATTCCATACCTTCACCAGCTTTTACGCTGTAATGTTTATAAAGATTTTGCTGATTGATGTTAATTTGACAAACAGAAAGGTATATAATTAGATAATGTTATGTTGATGGAACAATGAAATGAAGTAATGTGACAATCTGACGATACATCATCGAGGTTTAACAATGTGTTGTGGTTATTTGTAAATGTGTGAGGTCTGATCAAAATCCTTTGAGGAATTATGCCGCCAGACCGCTGATAAAAAAAATCTAAAAATGGTAACAGTGACCTTGACCCTTCAACTCTGACACTCAAAGTTGTCAAGCATAATTTGTTGCTTTAAAAATGTGTGAATTTTGATGAGAACCCTCAAGAAATGGAGCCGCTTAAGCGCTGACAATTATTTTCTAAAAATAGTAACAGTGACCATGGACCAAACAATCCTTAAAAAAATCAAATATATCAGAGATAATTTGATGCTTTATAAATGTGTACATTTCACTAAGTAACCCTCAACGAATGAAGTCACCAGAGCGCTGACAATTGTCTCAAACGAAGGGATCGACAAACCTCCAGAAATACTATAGCTCCCAGCTGACTGTGACTAGAGCGTCAAGTCACTTTATAATCCAGTACCCATCTCCACGCTGTGATTAGATCGTCAAGTCACCATCTCCCAGCTGACTGTGAAAAGATCGTCAAGTCACCATCTCCGAGCTAACTGTGACTAGATCGTCAAGTCACTTTATAATCCTGTCACCATCTCCACGCTGTGACAAGATCGTCAAGTCACCATCTCCAAGCAAACTGTGACCAGATCGTCAAGTCACTTTATAATCCTGTCACCATCTCCAAGCTGTGATTAAATCGTCAAGTCACCATCTCCCAGCTGACTGTGAAAAGATCGTCAAGTCACCATCTCCGAGCTAACTGTGACTAGATCGTCAAGTCAGTTTATAATCCTGTCACCATCTCCACGCTGTGACAAGATCGTCAAGTCACCATCTCCAAGCAAACTGTGACCAGATCGTCAAGTCACCATCTCCGAGCTAACTGTGACATGATCGTCAAATCACCATCTCCAAGCTAACTGTGACTAGATCGTCAAGTCACATAAAGTCTTGTCACCATCTCCACGCTGTGACTAGATCGTCAAATCACCATCTCCAAGCTAACTGTGACCAGATCGTCAAGTCACCATCTCCAAGCTAACTGTGACATGATCGTCAAATCACCATCTCCGAGCTAACTGTGACTAGATCGTCAAACATCTCCAAGCTAACTGTGACCAGATCGTCAAGTCACCATCTCCAAGCTAACTGTGACATGATCGTCAAATCACCATCTCCGAGCGAACTGTGACTGGATCGTCAAGTCACCATCTCCAAGCTAACTGTGACTAGATCGTCAAGTCACCATCTCCAAGCTAACTGTGACTAGATCGTCAAGTCACCATCTCCAAGCTAACTGTGACATGATCGTCAAATCACCATCTCCGAGCTAACTGTGACATGATCGTCAAGTCACCATCTCCAAGCTAACTGTGACTAGATCGTCAAGTCACCATCTCCAAGCTAACTGTGACTAGGTCGTCAAATCACCATCTCCCTGCTAACTGTGATTAGATCGCCAAGTCATTTCATAATCCAGTTACCACCTCCCTGGTAACCATGACGATATTATCCAGTCACCACCTCCCTGGTAACCATGACGATATAATCCAGTCACCATCTCCCAGGTAACCATGACGATATCATCCAATTACTGTCTCCCTGGTAACTTTGACTATATGATTTAGTCACCGTCTCCCAGGTACCCAAGACTTAATCATCCTGCCACGATATCTGAAGTAACTGGTCCTGAAACAGCACTGATTAAAGAATAAATTCAGTCATCGTCTGCCAGTTGTGACCAGAAAACTCAATCACCATCTAACTGTTATGACAAGAATCTGCAATTTCTATCTCGCAGCAGTAAGACGAACATCAGGTCACAGTTTCTCCTATCTAACTAGAAATCCAGTGTCCCATCTAGTTGTGACAAGTTTATCTGTGTCAATAATGAATTGAAAATAGATCTAAGGGAGAGTACTCGCGACTAATCAGTCAGTTCAGTACACGATATAGAGAAAACTCCATATGATCGTCATTGAATTATTTTAATGTGCCAAAAACCATTCGTCAACGAAAAACATTGTAAGCATCCTATTTTTAAAAATCACAAATTTGTTACATTTAATTCAAAATACGAGAGTCCGTGTTTTATATAATTAGATATCTTTCAACCGGGCAATGAATAAGTCAGTGTAGCTTGAACTTCATTTTGGATTTCAAACGCGGAAATGTGCCTGGCGAAAAGCACATGAAAAACACCACAACGTCAGCACCACATCAGCATCACCTCAAATGCTGGTCGGGTGGCGAAATGGTAACGCACTCGCCTTTCACGTAGACGTCCGGGGTTCGATTTCCGACGTGAAAAGGCATGAGGTTACCTGCCAGATCACGTGAGTTATTTTTGGATACTCCGGATTTCTCATGCCGTAACACCCTTGCGCTCTTCCATCCGAGCCATTAAGAATGATAAATATAACTTGGAAACTACGTAATTGTTGTAAAGTTTAATTTCAATACTCATCTCAACACCACAATCTACCAGTACTGTTGATAGAGACTTTGTGAAGTCAATAACTTTAATGAAAATATGGTATATAATAACATGTAAAATGGCTGTACGAACGTTCAAAATTGGGACCTGTATCATTTCACTGGAGATTTACTTAGGACCTACCTCATTTCACTGGAGATTTACTCAGGACCTACCTCATTTCACTGGATATTTACTCAGGACCTGCCTCATTTCACTGGAGATTTACTCAGGAAATGCCTCATTTCACTGGAGATTTACTCAGGAAATGCCTCATTTCACTGGAGATTTACTCAGGAAATGCCTCATTTCACTGGAGATTTACTCAGGAAATGCCTCATTTCACTGGAGATTTACTTAGGACCAGCCTCATTTCAATGGAGATTTACTTATGACCTGTCTCATTTCAATGGAGATTTACTTATGACCTGTCTCATTTCACGGGAGATTTACTTAGGACCAGCCTCAACCACTGGAGATTTACGTAGCACCTGCCTCATTTCACTGGAGGTTTACTTAGGACCTGCCTCATTTCTTATCATTCCTATCAGGGTTAACACTGTAAATCTCAATATTATACAACATTACTTTTAGACGTAGATATACGATAAAGTTATTCATATTAAGATTATGAAAAATTTAAAACTAAAATAATTCCGACTGGTGTTGGTTTTTACAAGGAAAACTACGGTAGGTAGATATATATCTACATCTAAGTCTCCATCTAGAATTATGACCTTATCAAGCATGAAGGTAGATGGTTAATCGGTTTTAATTGACAGCCACCCCCCTCCCCTTTAGTTCACAAAATCATCAGACGTTACGTTTAAAAAAGATATTCTGTTCATCACGTAATAGTAACTATTAGAATCTAGTCCTAAGATTGGTATTTTTTTTTTTGAAATAACAAAATATCATGTATATGATGTATGTAGATATATATATATAAAAGGACTACGCTCGAAAAAAAATATATAGTGGACTATAAATACCTGTGAAATATGTCAGGATGGCCGAGCGGTCTAAGGCGCCAGACTCAAGATTATACTTCTTGGCAAATGCAGGGTGAGTGTTCTGGTCCACATATGTGGGCGTGGGTTCGAATCCCACTTCTGACAAAATATTTTGCTTTTACCTTGAACAGAAAGGAAAATGCACAAAGGTGTCAAAATCGATCATTTTGTGACACCAATTATGATTAGTATTGTTGTTTTGAAGATATAGGCCGATGTCAAGCGAACAAAAATTTAAACGTAGGTTTTTTCTATAACAAAATAAAATAAAGGTTAATCGGTGAGATGACTTACTGTATTTCAGATCATTATACTTCTTAACCAGAGTATATGCATTTGGTTCCTATGACAGGCAAATGTTAACTATTTAAAACGGGCGCGAGACAAGCCTAAGATAACAATGCTTCACATTATACAAACCGGTCCTGCAGGATTTATGGAAATTTATGCTGGCTTGTTTTTAATTCTGTTTCTGATTTTTTTTAATCCTGTAAACTTTAATTACTTCGTTTATCTCGCCTGTTATTTTAACATATTGTCAGCATGTATATTAAAGAATGACCTCAGATATTTATTTCGGAGTGTTTTTCTTCTGTGAGTTGGCCGGGTACATGTCAACTTCCGGCTGCGCTAAGTTGACGTCATTACCTGCGCAGAGCATAAGGGGCGTCAAATCCGCCATATTGAATACACTGACGGGAGAGGAGACGAAAGGGAGGCTGAAATTCCAACCAATATCAGCGCCATCCTTCATATTACCCTAATACTGATACCTGACGGGAATTCTTAACTTCATAATAGAACAGCCGACGGGCTGATTTTGTATCAATAGTCAGCCAAGGCGCTAAACATTTCTAATATATATAGCTTCCGTCAACTTCCGGCAGAACAAAAATGGGTACCAAGGATGACGAATATGATTATCTTTTCAAAGGTAGGCAGTTCACGGAGGAATTATCAATAGATAACTCTTCAGGGCATGTACATTTTTTCGTCACTTAAAATAATTTGGCGAGACAGTGAAAAAACAGTTTACATACCTTCCTTTTGATCACTTATTCACTGAAATGTCAAACGAGGAAGCAGTGTCATTGACATTTTTGACAGCTGAATGTTTCCGACATTTTAAGACTTGAGACTTGCATACCTGTCTATAAACAGTTGAGTTCTTGTCAAAAGTCAAGTATAAGATGTTCGTTGAATAAATTTGTTTCTAACGGGCATCTTTAACAAGAACATACATGTTTTGATATTTTTTATTTTACATTAGAAATCAATACCTCAAAATTTCACTGCGAAGTTGTACATTGAGTGAATTATAATTATGACAATGTTTCCATATGTTTAGTATTTTATCGTACTATAGATACGCAACTCTTTCCTGATATTTGCGGCCATCGTCCGACATAAACATGTTATGACACACCCCTTCAGTTCTGTCTTTCATGGCTGACATATCCAGCTCATCGTGTTAATGTCGACCATAGTCTGTAGATTTCTGTTCCTAAACTGTTGATTTAGCCATTCATCTCGCATTATTTGTTGTTTGTTTATATAGAACAGTTTTGAGTTGACATGGGGCCCCTGTTAGGCCTGCTGTGTGTCATTATGGTGCACTTTGACTCGTACCAGGCACAGAAGACACCCAGACCTAGCTGGCAAATACAGATTCATTTTAACAACCAGTAAACCTGCAATGCTGGTCTTATAGCTGAAAAGCATTTCCAAACCTCCATTAGCATATATGGTGGAATTAAAATTATTTTTGACTTAGATATTGTGATTCCTGGACCCATACTTTTCCTGTGGGACTCCTTTAAATATTTAGTCTACATTATATGTTAGTATAGGGGCTCCTCAAAATTTTGGAATAGAGTGTCCTGGTTCTCCTTAAACCCTTCAAAACTTACTGTCACTGTTTGCTAGGTAGTGTAAATGAATAGATGATTAGATGAAAGTTTTAAGGTCTGATTTCCTAGTTGATAGGAGTCCCAGATCCTTGGTTTCTAAGGGTATTGTGATGATGGTTGGAACTGTTCTTATGTACTATTTTCTATTACCAACTCATGTTCATTAAATAAGATGAATTAGTGTATAGGTTAACAGCAAGGAATTCTCAAACCTGTGTAGTGATTTTTTTTATTCATTTTTTTGTTTGTTTTATTTTTGTGGATTTCTTGGTCTGGACTTTTTATTTCATTATTCTCCCAGGATTTGTCAAAGCAGAGATGATTGAATGTTATTGGTTATATATGCAGTGTAATAACAAACTTGTTATTGATGACTCAGGTTCAGCTATAACTTTAAGCGATACTAAGGATGACTCCGGTTCACCTACAACTTTAAGTGGTACTAAACCAGTTATTTCCATGAATTAATCTAGATTATAGGGAATATTCTACCCATTGTGGAAAAAGGGGAATTTTTTTATCAGGTTTTTAGATGATTTTGAGAATGGAAGAATTTCAGACCGTCCTTTTGGTCTCCAGTTCAAATGACGGATATGGTAAAACTGTATGACATACATGATGATTACATGGATAAGATATCAAAATGTTGAGGTTACATTGATGCCTCTTTTTCTTGACAGCATGCTATGTGATAATATATTAAACAGCTCTGTTTTGGAGAAAGTTTTTTCTATTTCGGGGAAATTTTAAATGTTTTCAGTATATTTTCTTAATGAGGAATTTGTTTATATTTGGAGGGAAAAACATAGCACTGAGCATACTACCTTTTTTGGCAGTAAAATTTGTCTAGATGGATCCCTGATTTGTAATATTTATTATTGCTATTCAGTGTTATGATGAGTCTATTATTGTACACATCTATGCTAGACAGCAATGAAGACAAATGTGGAGAGAAAAACAATGAAAATGGCACTAGACTTGTGGGAGCATTCCTATCATCTAATTCATAAGGTTTAGTTTGTCTATTTAGTGAAATAATTACCCAACATGTTTTGAAGTAGTAACCTCGGAAGTATGTAATTAAAAGCAAACAAGGAATTAAGATTTTACTGGTATGTAATGAACTCAACTGCTCTTTGTCTCATTTGTGTGTTTAATAAACTTTTACCCTCCAATTACTACCATTATGATTGTCCTTCTTTGACCACGATGTAATAACTTGAAAGAGGTTTTCGTGGATAAAGTTTTCCGTAGTTTGGACACATGTACTTAGGTAGAGCATCTGTATGTTAGTCTTGTTTTTAGTGAAATACCCAATATTATATAATGAGAAGTAGCCTTGTTTTGTAAACAGTTTACAGCTTATGTTTTATAAAGTTATACATGTGTATCTTGCAAATGTTACGGTCAGAGAGTTATACACATGTTCTAGTCTAACGACGTCGGCAGCCTTGGCTAGTTTCCTGTATATCCGTACTAGGTCTGGTGGTAACCGACGTTGTAGTGAAACATACTTCCAAACAACACACCACCACTCACACTAAGTAATTAACACCGCTTAATATACACGGCTGTTAAGTTTATTGTTTATTACTTGTCAAGCTTCTAAATATTGTTTTTCAAATTCAAATTTTAATGAATTTGATCTACCTTTAAAAGTTTAACAAGATCAGCAAAAAATTAAACAATAAGAATCTTGTCCCTTCACAACAAAAATAAAATGGCTTAAGAACTATTATTAAAACAAAAATTGGTAGCCTTTAAACCAGTTTAAAGCGAGAAAAACTTAATTGATATTCATATACCTGCTTTGGCAGTACATATATTAAAATTGGAAGGATATAAAGATTAGCATGGCCCCTGAGCAAGGAGCATGCAAATTTGTGAAGCATTCCATATTTTTCAATACTAGATGTGTGAAATGTGTTTGATGTATGTGTATATGAACTACCGTAAAAATGTAAATCACTTTGTTGTTGATATTGCAAATTAATTTTTTAATGTGTTGAATTATATAAAATGTGAATTAAAAATGAAAAATTGAAAAAAAAATACTATTTGGAACCAAATAAAATATCTGTACCTAATTATGGAATATTTAACTGTACCAATTAAAACAAATGAGGATTTTCATTGGCTAATTAATGTAGAACACCAAAGGAATATATTGGAGTTGTATCTTATGATGAAGATGTTAAGTGTTTAATTTACTGTTTAAAAGTTTAAGAAAACTACAGAAATACACAGATACATCAATCAAAACATGAAGGTATTGTTCTACCCAGTTGTAACACGAAATATGTATGGTCTTTCCCAAATGTAGGTAATATCTATTTTTATCTCGTGAAGTAACTAGAATGAGTCATACTTTGTATGTTTGTAAACAAATGATGACATGGCCACATAACCATATCATGTATGATAGTGTCAGCCAAATTTAGACATTATTTGTTTGAAATACTATAAAACATGGACTTCAGGACTCTGTCAGCATTAGGTGGACAACTGTCTAGTGTAGACTTAGATTATCGACTTCTCTATGCTGAAAATTATTTCTTATTTTAAAAAAGTGTTGTGCTATTTTACCTATTACGAGTAATTTCCCAAATTTTGAGAACTTTTTTAAATTATATTTACTAAAGTTTAATATTCAGTTGACAACTCAGAAAAATAGATATTGTCATGATGTCTTGTATGAACTCTCGCTGCACTGCCTGTGGCCATAGGTTTGGGTCTAGCTTCAGGAAAGGCCACGTGTATGCAGATGATGACTATCACTACATGTGTAAAGGTGTGTAAGGCTATTTCATAAAGGATTATTTTGTTTTGTTTACTTTATGGCTGGACAGTGTTAAAGATGCATTGGTTGGCTGGGTCCATGGTGGTAATTATTGATGTAGATTTTCTTCAGCATATTTTCATGCATGTTCCTGTAAATTACTTGTAATCTTTAAAGTATGTTCATTGTTGATTTTTTTCAGTGGTGCTTATAGGAGACTCCGGAGTAGGGAAAAGTAACCTGTTGTCCAGATTCACTAGGAATGAGTTCAACTTAGAAAGTAAAAGCACCATTGGTGTGGAGTTTGCTACAAGGTATGTATTACCTACTGGTACTTGGTAAACAGTCTAGATTGATAATAACAGTTCTGTTTTTTGTTTTCAGTTTTGTTTGCACCATTAGTCAAATATAGGGTAATGTTAGGGGGTCTGTCTTTCTTGTTAAAACTACGGCTGTAGTGAATGTCTATTTTGTTAAAACTACAGCTGTAATGAATGTCTGTCTTTCTTGTTAAAACTACAGCTGTAATGAAAGATAAATTATATATACAGTATAATGGTTATGTCAGGGTATGTCTTTCGTGTTAAAACTACAGCTGTGATGAATGTCTGTCTTTCTTGTTAAAATTACAGCAACGAAAGATAAAATTTGAATATAGTATGATGGGTTTATGTTGCTACACACTTTCACCAATGGAAAATATCATTTTGATTCCTGTCATGTTTTTATTATTGAAGTTCAAGAACTAAAATTACTCTTTCTAGATAATTACTATTTCTGTATTTGCCATGCAATCTTATAAAAATAAGAGATTGGTGTTATACTGCAGCATTGACACTGCTGATAGAGGGACATTTAGACTGCTGACTTAGGTAAAAATCAGAAAAACCCTGCAGATCTCCCATTTTGTCTCAAAATGTAATATTCATTGGTAAAAAGGTATTATATTATGCAATGTTGTCTGGTTAGACCTATAAAGAAATGAAATACACTCTATAAACTGTCAGGGCATCTGTCCAGCTGGACAAACCTGGCACATTTAAGGATTTGTTTTGGCTCTATATAACATGATAACACCTGCTACATGACAGTCATTGTACTGTTTTAGTCCCCTGCTGGTGAAACTGGAGGGGACTATAGTGCTTGTCTGTCTGTCCGCCCTTTTGTTTATTGGAATGTTGGGTCTCCAGACAACTGAGAAAAAGATTTGAATAAAACTTAGATTTAAAGTTATCAGATAATACAGAGTGGGATTGAGTTTGGGGTCAAAGGTCAAGTACAAAGGTCACTTGCTAAAGATAGGTATTTTTCATCAGATTTTGGTTTCCAGATGATAACTTCAGAATGGATTTAGCTTATGAAGTAATATAGGGTTAGATTGAATTTGGGGTCAAAAGGTCAACTAAGAATGTCACTTACTAAAAATAGACCTTTATCTTCATATTTTGGCTTCCAGATAACTTGTGATAGGGTTGATCAATTGTATTGAAACTTAATGCAATTTAAAATTGTTAGAAAATATATAAGTTGGGATTGATTAGGGATCAAAAAGTTCTACTGTGAAGGTCACAGTAGACAATAGACATTTGTCATCTTTTTTAGGGCCCCGCATCAAAGATGCAGAAAGCAGAGTTTGTCAGAGTAACACTAGTAGACAACTGACCAATGTTTAAGGTCACTGTGTCAAAAGGTGTTGGTCAAATTTTATATCATGTGTATACTAACAATGTAACTAGAGTGGTTAAATTTAGTCTGAAAGGCCGGACACAAATCCAGGTCCTTTTTGACATGTCCGTGTTTTAGTTTATTTTCCAGATAATCACTTGTATTATGGATGACAAACATGATGAAAACTTCATATAGTATTAAGCATATGAGAATGCATTTAAAGCTTTTTCCTTGTTATTTTCTGGTTTTTGTATCCTTCCTGTCAAGACACAGGTTTTTGGAAGGAAGACTTTCAATTGCTAAAATGAGACATCTGTTCATTGCTATCAAGGTCTATGTTGCTTATAATAACGGCAGGGGAAGAGTGTTGGATGCAACACTAACTGTATGATTGTTTATAACCAGCTAAGCACTAGGTCAGTCTCCTCATGAAAGTCATGCATATCATATTAAATGTTCTAAATATTTCCAGGAGTATACAAGTGGATGGAAAGACAATTAAGGCACAGATCTGGGACACAGCTGGTCAAGAGCGTTATAGAGCCATCACTAGTGCGTAAGTATACCTTGAGGGCTGTTTTTATATATTTAAGATCTATTCTCTTTTCTGGGAAGACACTATGTCAAAGTGAATTATGTACAAAGTTGATACCATCAGCTTACTGAAAGGTTTGTCAAGTAAAAGCTGTCTAAAATTATGTGTTTTTAGTCAGTACTCTCAATGTTAGAAAGCCTTAAAACCATTTGAAACCAGACTTAGCTTGGTCCAATAAAAATGATGTCATATTTTAGGTATTATCGTGGAGCTGTGGGGGCGTTACTAGTCTATGATATAGCTAAACACCTGACATATGAGAATGTGGAGCGCTGGCTGAAGGAGCTGCGAGACCATGCTGATAACAATATCGTCATCATGCTGGTGGGCAACAAAAGTGATTTGCGTCATCTACGAGCTGTACCTACAGATGAGGCCAAAGCCTTTGCAGGTAATGTAAAAAAGAATTTTAAGTTGAATGGTTCTATATCCTGCCAGGAGATATCCATTCTGGATTGTTATAGGCTGTAGTTTTATGTCTCATGATAAGTTAGTGAAGGGGGAATATTGTGTTGCTTTTTCTGTAACATTTTGATATGAAGTTTTGTAGTTAGAGATGTGTTGTTTAAGATTAATCAAGTCCAGCTTACCAAACTTGGTATATAGCTACTTCACATAGCGGACACTTCATCAGTCATTTCAAAATTATATGGTCCAGCAACTGGAAATTATTGAGACAGAGCTGAATTTTGAAAAAAATAGTTTAGCTCAGTTAATCAAAACTTTGAACAAATTTACTTTATAGTATAGACATCTGATCCCACCAAATGGGATAGGAACTTTTTTTGTATATTTCTAGAACAAAAACCTGAGATTTATTTTATAGTCCTATTAAAGCGTGTTCTGTAATGTATGAGACAAGTTTTGATCTCCTCTAAAAGAGTTGTATTTACGGGTTTAATGTCAGATTGGAGTTCATTTTCAGAATTGAAGAATCAAAAAACGTTTCATTTCTAATTACAGAAAAGAATAACCTGTCTTTCATTGAAACATCAGCGCTGGATTCTACTAATGTAGAAACGGCATTCCAAAATATATTAACAGGTAAGTAAAATAGGTTTTATCTTTCTTACAATACAGTAATTGTATCTGAATAATCGTAACAATTTTATTATATTGGTAGGTATTGACTTTAGTCCCCGTGGACCTGACATATAATGATTGCCTGTCCTGTATTGAGGATAGTCAGATGTCACTATGGATAATGAAAGGGAGACAACTCAAAGTGATTACCAATATATTCTCAGTACCCATATCAAAAACACCACTTGCTGAATCCATGTTATTTTTTCTGTTTACAGAGATTTACAAAATAGTATCTATGAAACAGATACGAGACAGTAATGATGATGATAACTCTCCCAGTAGCAATGTACAGACAATACAGGTGGCGCCTACAGACAATTCTATGCCTCGCCCACAAAAGTGTTGTAATGTCTGAGGCAGTCCACAACGCGTGGTTCTATGGCCATAAGGAGGGCACCGAACATTCACTTAACTTTCCAATCGAGAGGAGGATATTTGGAGGAGTCCAAGTTCAGATCGGGAGGGGACCGCAGTGTCTTTCTGGAAAAGGTTCCGATGAAATGTATCAGTTATCTGATACAGGAAACTTTCTGTGACAAGAACAAAAATTTTATTAAAACGGTGATATCAGAGAAAAGAGCTGTAGAGATGAAATGTTTAAAGTTTTTATATATAAAAGTGACATCAGTTTTTGGTAACAATTTAATTTCTGTAGAGGTGATGGAAGGGGGTTGAAATATCATCAGAACTTCAGACCTGATGATAGAAAACACAATTATCATGATTCCTCACAAAGTCATCAATATGAAATGATTGATTATTCCATGTGTGAATGTACAGCAATTCTGAAATTCGAATTTTCAGTTTCTGTACATGTATAAAATGAAGTATCATTATTTATTCATTTGGGAGGGGAGTGTTGAGACAGAGCTCTGAGGATTAAAAGACTCTGTCACTTTATGTGTGCAAGATTGATGGAAACATTTCCTCAGAAAATATCAAGGATTGATCTGTCATGAAATTTAATGAGGAACCTTTAACAATGTTCTGAAAGAATGAAATATGTGCGTGGAGAACTACTGTGATGAAATCTTTGTACCATGCCATATGTTATGTCTAGTGTCTGTCCTGCATACACCATGGTACTGCAACTTAGAAGGTGTTTAATGAACCATTTAGTTGTATAATGCCTTTGCCTTGTTACACAGTACTCCCAGAATATTTCATGCATTGTGAATGGTAAGTTTTACATGTGGAGAGTTTTAAGATAGCAGGAAGCTTCGTGAGTGTTTAAGAGAAACAAAGAAAAGGTTTGAAAAACTTGATATTAAAGTTTTGTACTTAAGGTTCAGTCAGAATAGCAGGGCTGTCTGTTTATGTATATGGTGTTTCTTGTTTTTTTTTATTCCTGGATTTAAATAACACCATATGCACTATGATATATTTAGAAAAATTGCAGAGTAGGAGCTGCATATCGTGACCGTCTGTTGGAAATAAGTAGGGAGATCTGTGTAACAAATAAAAGGTACTGACTACATTTCACAAGTCGCATGTTTCTATCTTCATTATTTTTTTATATAATTGTATGTAGCCATACTTACAGCTCACCAGTGTTATAAAGCCAATTAAACCTTTGCTATGAATGCCAACATGTAATAAGGTTTGAGAGAGAAAACTCGTGATTTCATATATGTTCATGTGTCCCATATTGTGGTATGCATGAGGTGGGTGATTGGGTTCTTGGGACCATAGTAGTGTAAATGTTTAATGATTATTGGAAACTGGGTCAAGAAAACCACTACATGGAGAAGAACAGGGGAGATCACATGACTTTGTACAGAGTGGAACAGAGGAGACCACATGACTTTGTACAGAGTGGAACAGGGGAGATCACATGACTTTGTACAGAGTGGAACGGGAGAGATCACATGACAATTGGCATTATTAGTGTGATCAGTTATCGTGTATTTAATCAGATAAGACAGAATAATTTCATGACTCGAAATCCTTGCTGATTAATTGAGCAAATCATGATATGACAGTAATGTTTATTTAGCAAATGCTAATAACCTAGGAACTTGTAGTGATTCCTTCTGTTATCAGTTTGTTGTGACATTATGGTGGCCTGCATGTCTGTTAGACGATGGGTAGGGGGCTATGGTGGCCTACAAGCTGTTAGACGGTGGGTAGGGGGCTATGGTGGCCTACAAGCTGTTAGTCGGTGGGTAGGCCTACAATCTGTTAGACGGTGGGTAGGGGGCTATGGTGGCCTACAAGCTGTTAGACGGTGGGTAGGGGGCTATGGTGGCCTACAAGCTGTTAGACGGTGGGTAGGCCTACAATCTGTTAGACGGTGGGTAGGGGGCTATGGTGGCCTACAAGCTGTTAGACGGTGGGTAGGGGGCTATGGTGGCCTACAATCTGTTGGACGATGGGTAGGTGGCTATGGTGGCCTACAAGCTGTTGGACGATGGGTAGGTGGCTATGGTGGCCTACAAGCTGTTAGACAGTGGGTAGGGGGCTATGGTGGCCTACAATCTGTTGGACGATGGGTAGGTGGCTATGGTGGCCTACAAGCTGTTAGACAGTGGGTAGGGGGCTATGGTGGCCTACAAGCTGTTAGAAGGTGGGTAGGTGGCTATGGTGGCCTACAAGCTTGTTCGACGGTGGGTAGGAGGCTATGGTGGCCTACAAGCTTGTTCGACAGTGGATAGGGGGCTATGGTGGCCTACAAGCTGTTCGACGGTGGGTAGGAGGCTATGGTGGCCTACAAGCTGTTAGACGGTGGGTAGGGGGCTATGGTTGCCTGCATGTCTGTGGTTATTCTCCGAGATCTCCAGATTTCCTCCACTACCCGACTTGGCATTTCCTTAAATGACCCTGACTGTACAATAAGCCAGCAAACCCTTCAGGTGAGTGGTATTTTACAGAGGAAGGATTTTTAGAGCTGTATTTCTGTTGTACGGATATTGTGTTAATCAGGTATAAATATGTATGTAAATCTGGTCTCCAAAAATATTCTTCTGTTAAATACACCTGATCTAATAGAATTAGTAACATACACTATTCCTCATCCACAGGGTTTGTTTAGGGGTACAACCTACCGCCTCATACAGAAATCTGTAAGCACATAATTGTTTTTTTTTGCACTTGTGAAATGTGGTTGGACTAATGTGCGAGTCCAAGACTCGTGTTGTTTTCCAGTAAGATGGACCATGTATAGATTATCATTATATATGGCTTCACACCATCCTGTATGAAGAAATTTTTATTTTTCCTGTGCTTTTTCTCAAGAGACTATGTTTAATCTATATGTACAGCTATGAAACATTATGAATTTTGTTGATAAACATTGAACAGATGTCATGATTGTATGCTTGTAAGTATGTAATTTGTACAAATGTATATCTTATCACCAGCTAAAGCAGTCTGTTTGTTGTTATTTTATAAACAGAAGATTTGAGGTCATTACAGTACTACTGTGACGAGAATGCTCTATAGTGTTGGACGTAAACTTGCATGAAAATTGGGCAATTATCTTCATTCTTACTTACACCTACTTGGTTTTTTTGTGTCGACAACGAAAATCGACATATAAGTATTACTCTGTCGGTGTTCCCATCGGCGGTGTCATTGTCCACACAAAAGCTTGATAACTTGAGTTCCCTTTGGCTTATCAAGCTCAAACTTCATAAAATGCCTACGCTCCAAAAGTGCTTGCATGGAATTGCCTTTCGGGTTCAAAGGCCATAGGTCAAGGTCACCATTACAATAAATAATTTTTTTTTTTGGCAATAATTTCAGTTCCCTATGGCCAATCTAAAGTGCTTTCTTATCAGAAATGCTTGCTTGGGATTGCTTTTCAGTTACCAAGGTCAAAGATCAAGGTCACCGTCAATATAAATAGGAATTTTTTTCCCTAGATAACTTCAGTTCCTTTTGACTTACATATGTTATCTGAAAGTTTCCTTGTCACATTTTAAACAAATGGACAATTTATATAAATTGGGGAAATACAATGAAGATCTATAGTTCCATAAAACTCATCCAGATTCCAGGGATTGATACACAGACAACATAGGATAGTTAACAGGTGTTCAGGGATTGATACACAGACAACTTAGGATAGTTAACAGGTGTTCAGGGATTGATACACAGACAACATAGGATAGTTAACAGGTGTTCAGGGACTGATACACAGACAACATAGGATAGTTAAGTGTTCAGGGATTGATACACAGACAACATAGGATAGTTAACAGGTGTTCAGGGATTGATACACAGACAACATAGGATAGTTAACAGGTGTTCAGGGATTGATACACAGACAACATAGGATAGTTAACAGGTGTTCAGGGATACTGATACACAGAGACAACATAGGATAGTTAACAGGTGTTCAGGGATTGATACACAGACAACATAGGATAGTTAACAGGTGTTCAGGGATTGATACACAGACAACATAGGATAGTTAACAGGTGTTCAGGGATTGATACACAGACAACATAGGATACTTAACAGGTGTTCAGGGAATGATACACAGACAACATAGGATAGTTAACAGGTGTTCAGGGATTGATACACAGACAACATAGGATAGTTAACAGGTGTTCAGGGATTGATACACAGACAACATAGGATAGTTAACAGGTGTTCAGGGACTGATACACAGACAACATAGGATAGTTAACAGGTGTTCAGGGATTGATACACAGACAACATAGGATAGTTAACAGGTGTTCAGGGATTGATACACAGACAACATAGGATAGTTAACAGGTGTTCAGGGATTGATACACAGACAACATAGGATAGTTAACAGGTGTTCAGGGATTGATACACAGACAACATAGGATAGTTAACAGGTGTTCAGGGATTGATACACAGACAACATAGGATAGTTAACAGGTGTTCAGGGATTGATACACAGACAACATAGGATAGTTAACAGGTGTTCAGGGATTGATACACAGACAACATAGGATAGTTAACAGGTGTTCAGGGATTGATACACAGACAACATAGGATAGTTAACAGGTGTTCAGGGATTGATACACAGACAACATAGGATAGTTAACAGGTGTTCAGGGATTGATACACAGACAACATAGGATAGTTAACAGGTGTTCAGGGATTGATACACAGACAACATAGGATAGTTAACAGGTGTTCAGGGATTGATACACAGACAACATAGGATAGTTAAGTGTTCAGGGATTGATACACAGACAACATAGGATAGTTAACAGGTGTTCAGGGATTGATACACAGACAACATAGGATAGTTAACAGGTGTTCAGGGATTGATACACAGACAACATAGGATAGTTAACAGGTGTTCAGGGATTGATACACAGACAACATAGGATAGTTAACAGGTGTTCAGGGATTGATACACAGACAACATAGGATAGTTAACAGGTGTTCAGGGATTGATACACAGACAACATAGGATAGTTAACAGGTGTTCAGGGAATGATACACAGACAACATAGGATAGTTAACAGGTGTTCAGGGAATGATACACAGACAACATAGGATAGTTAACAGGTGTTCAGGGATTGATACACAGACAACATAGGATAGTTAACAGGTGTTCAGGGATTGATACACAGACAACATAGGATAGTTAACAGGTGTTCAGGGATTGATACACAGACAACATAGGATAGTTAACAGGTGTTCAGGGATTGATACACAGACAACATAGGATAGTTAACAGGTGTTCAGGGATTGATACACAGACAACATAGGATAGTTAACAGGTGTTCAGGGTTTGATACACAGACAACATAGGATAGTTAACAGGTGTTCAGGGATTGATACACAGACAACATAGGATAGTTAACAGGTGTTCAGGGATTGATACACAGACAACATAGGATAGTTAACAGGTGTTCAGGGATTGATACACAGACAACATAGGATAGTTAACAGGTGTTCAGGGATTGATACACAGACAACATAGGATAGTTAACAGGTGTTCAGGGATTGATACACAGACAACATAGGATAGTTAACAGGTGTTCAGGGATTGATACACAGACAACATAGGATAGTTAACAGGTGTTCAGGGATTGATACACAGACAACATAGGATAGGATAGTTAACAGGTGTTCAGGGATTGATACACAGACAACATAGGATAGTTAACAGGTGTTCAGGGATTGATACACAGACAACATAGGATAGTTAACAGGTGTTCAGGGATTGATACACAGACAACATAGGATAGTTAACAGGTGTTCAGGGATTGATACACAGACAACATAGGATAGTTAACAGGTGTTCAGGGATTGATACACAGACAACATAGGATACTTAACAGGTGTTCAGGGATTGATACACAGACAACAGGATGGTTAAGAAGTGTTCAGGGATTGATACACAGACAACATAGGATAGTTAACAGGTGTTCAGGGATTGATACACAGACAACAGGATGGTTAAGAAGTGTTCAGGGATTGATACACAGACAACATAGGATAGTTAACAGGTGTTCAGGGATTGATACACAGACAACATAGGATAGTTAACAGGTGTTCAGGGACTGATACACAGACAACATAGGATAGTTAACAGGTGTTCAGGGATTGATACACAGACAACATAGGATAGTTAACAGGTGTTCAGGGATTGATACACAGTCAACATAGGATAGTTAACAGGTGTTCAGGGATTGATACACAGACAACATAGGATAGTTAACAGGTGTTCAGGGATTGATACACAGACAACATAGGATAGTTAACAGGTGTTCAGGGATTGATACACAGACAACATAGGATATAACAGGTGTTCAGTTAACATAGGATAGTTAACAGGTGTTCAGGGATTGATACACAGACAACTTAGGATAGTTAACAGGTGTTCAGGGATTGATACACAGACAACATAGGATAGTTAACAGGTGTTCAGGGATTGATACACAGACAACATAGGATAGTTAACAGGTGTTCAGGGATTGATACACAGACAACATAGGATAGTTAACAGGTGTTCAGGGATTGATACACAGACAACATAGGATAGTTAACAGGTGTTCAGGGATTGATACACAGACAACATAGGATAGTTAACAGGTGTTCAGGGATTGATACACAGACAACATAGGATAGTTAACAGGTGTTCAGGGATTACACAGATACACACAGACAACATAGGATAGTTAACAGGTGTTCAGGGATTGATACACAGACAACATAGGATAGTTAACAGGTGTTCAGGGATTGATACACAGACAACATAGGATAGTTAACAGGTGTTCAGGGATTGATACACAGACAACATAGGATAGTTAACAGGTGTTCAGGGATTGATACACAGACAACATAGGATAGTTAACAGGTGTTCAGGGATTGATACACAGACAACATAGGATAGTTAACAGGTGTTCAGGGATTGATACACAGACAACATAGGATAGTTAACAGGTGTTCAGGGATTGATACACAGACAACATAGGATACTTAACAGGTGTTCAGGGATTGATACACAGACAACATAGGATAGTTAACAGGTGTTCAGGGATTACACAGATACACAGACACAGACAACATAGGATAGTTAACAGGTGTTCAGGGATTGATACACAGACAACATAGGATAGTTAATCATAGTGATATACAGGTGTTCAGGTGTTCAGGGATTGATACACAGACAACATAGGATAGTTAACAGGTGTTCAGGGATTGATACACAGACAACATAGGATACTTAACAGGTGTTCAGGGATTGATACACAGACAACATAGGATAGTTAACAGGTGTTCAGGGATTGATACACAGACAACATAGGATAGTAACAGTTTCCCCCATCACCAGGTATATATAGTAACAGTTTCCCCCATCACTAGGTATATATAGTAACAGTTCCCCCATCACCAGGTATATACAGTAAGTTTCCCCAATCATCAGGTATTTATAGTAACAGTTGTCCCATCACCAGGTATATATAGTAACAGTTTCCCCCATCACCAAGTATATAAAGTAACAGTTTCCCCCACCACCAGATATATAAAGTAACAGTTTCCCCCATCACCAGGTATATAGAGTACCAGTTTCCCCAATCACCAGGTATATACAGTAACAGTTTCCCCCATCACTAGTGATATACAGTAACAGTTTCCCCCATCACTAGTGATATACAGTAACAGTTTCCCCCATCACTAGTGATATACAGTAACAGTTTCCCCCATCACTAGTGATATACAGTAACAGTTTCCCACATCACTAGTGATATACAGTAACAGTTTCCCCCATCACTAGTGATATACAGTAACAGTTTCCCCCATCACTCAGGTTTATAGTAACAGTTTCCCCATCACCAGGTATATATAGTAACAGTTTCCCCCCTCACCAAGTATATAAAGTAACAGTTTCCCCCACCACCAGATATATAAAGTAACAGTTTCCCCCATCAGGTATATAGAGTAACAGTTTCCCCCATCACCAGGTATATACAGTAACATTTTCCCACATGAACAGGTATATATAGTAACAGTTTCCACCATCACCAGGTATATATAGTAACATTTTCCCACATGAACAGGTATATATAGTTACAGTTTCCCCCATCGCGAAGTATATACAGTAACAGTTTCCACCATCACCAGGTATATACAGTGACAGTGTCCCCCATCACCAGGTATGTACAGTAACAGTTTCCCCCATCACCAGGTATATATAGTAACAGTTTCCACCATCACCAGGTATATATAGTAACATTTTCCCACATGAACAGGTATATATAGTTACAGTTTCCACCATCGCCAAGTATATACAGTAACAGTTTCCCCCATCACCAGGTATATACAGTGACAGTGTCCCCCATCGCCAAGTATATACAGTAACAGTTTCCCCCATCACCAGGTATATACAGTAACAGTTTCCCCCATCACCAGGTATATACAGTAACAGTTTCCCCAGAACCAGGTATGTACAGTAACAGTGTCCCACATGAACAGGTATATATAGTAACAGTTTCCCCATCACCAGGTATATACAGTAATAGTTTCCCCCATCACCAGGTATATACAGTAACAGTTTCCCACATGAACAGGTATATATAGTAACAGTTTCCCCCATCACTAGTGATATACAGTAACAGTTTCCCCCATCACTAGTGATATACAGTAGTAGTTTCCCCCATCACCAGGTATATATAGTAACAGTTTCCCCCATCACTAGTGATATACAGTAACAGTTTCCCCCATCACTAGTGATATACAGTAGTAGTTATAACATTTTGATTAAAAATAAAGATCACAAGTCTTCATATGATAAAATAGTAATTTTAATTAAATTATTTGATAACAATCATTAATAACAAGAGTTTAAAACATATAGTATTGGCACTTTGATAAACTTGTTTTAGCTTGATATAAGAAACAGACTTTTTTGAAAGCAATAAAATAAAAGTTTTCAATCGCAGTTTGTGTTTTAGATAAGCACCTCTTCAAAGTGTACATCTACACCTTCACAGAAACATTTTATCTTTAATATCAAATTGAATAATATCACAATAGGTCACTCTATAACCATGGACAAATCTGATATCACATTAAATGAATGGATTGTCCACCATCCTATGTAGGAGAGGTGTCAACAACACTCCAATGTCAGGACAGTACACAGATTGTTGTTGTGTTAGGACCAACATAACCACTCCAATGTCAGGACAGTACACAGATTGGTCTGTTAGGTCCAACATAACCACTCCAATGTCAGGACAGTACACAGATTGTTGTCGTGTTTGGTCCAACATAACCACTCCAATGTCAGGACAGTACACAGACTGGTCTGTTAGGTCCAACATAACCACTCCAATGTCAGGACAGTACACAGATTGGTCTGTTAGGTCCAACATAACCACTCCAATGTCAGGACAGTACACAGATTGGTCTGTTAGGTCCAACATAACCACTCCAATGTCAGGACAGTACACAGATTGTTGTCGTGTTAGGACCAACATAACCACTCCAATGTCAGGACAGTACACAGATTGTTGTCCTGTTAGGACCAACATAACCACTCCAATGTCAGGACAGTACACAGATTGGTCTGTTAGGTCCAACATAACCACTCCAATGTCAGGACAGTACACAGATTGTTGTCCTGTTAGGTCCTACATAACCACTCCAATGTCAGGACAGTACACAGATTGGTCTGTTAGGTCCAACATAACCACTCCAATGTCAGGACAGTACACAGATTGGTCTGTTAGGTCCAACATAACCACTCCAATGTCAGGACAGTACACAGACTGTTGTCGTGTTAGGTCTACATATGGGACCGCCTAAACACTCATCACATCATCAGTGTCGGACTAGGACCAGCGCTGGTCCTAAGATGGTGTCAAGGAGACAAATTATATCACAGCCTTGAGAGATGACCTCAGCCAGAACAGAGGACACCACATCATGCCCATGGTATTTATCTCTGTTGAGTGCAATTTTTATACAGAGATTTAGTTGTATGAATATTTCTCTTCTTAGATACTTTTTGTACCTAAAACAACATTGCCATTAAAATTTATACTGTAAAAATATTAAAACAACAACTTAAAACTTGAATTGTTCTCCAACACTTTCATCTCTCTCAACTGTGTATAGTAACCATGCCCATGGTTATAAATACAGCATGTAAAATGTACATTATGATGTAATTTGTTCAAAATCTCTAACCAATGATTGACTGACAAATGGATGAACAGATCACAGGGACTTGGCACAAATATCCAACCTATGGGATATATAACTAAAGCCAACATAATACAATCCTTTATATAAACCATGAGTTGAGAATTCTTGCCAAATCCCTGTGATACAAAAAGTTGGTGTTTGATAAAACATCTGTCAAACACTGACAGGCAAGTGACAAGGAGCAGTGAATTTTTTTCAAAACAACGATCAAATGCCAAGCAATTACGTTTGTTTAAACGTCCAGATTGAAAACTATAGTGTTCCACAACTTCAAGAAAATGATAAATAAACCAAAAATGTTTTTAATGTGGAGAAAACTGTGAGAAATGGACTCCCAACAAAAAACTTTATGTATGGACAGACCACTACATATGTCTGTAACATTTTTAAAGTGTAAACAGGGATGAGAGCCAACGCCGTGGTGCTAGGTGTAGGTAGGGGTGTTCCTGATATCCCTTGCTTGGATATCACCTGGTAGGCAGGGCGATTGAGGAATAGGGACAAAACAAAGCAAGTATCGATCGCAACAAGCTCAGGTCCTGATGAAGCCCAAATAGTTCGGGCGAAACCGGTCGACGTAGATCTAATAAACCTAATACCATTTATCTTGAGCTTGTTGTGATTGATACTTGCTTTATTTTTAAAGTGTATTACATAATGATAAAATCTTACAAAAAATTTTGTCTTCCACGAAATCAATAGATAAAGGATCTCCGTCCTACAGTAGTATGTGTCAGTGTAGTCACTGTACTAGAATACAAAATATCTACACATTTCGACCAAGTTGGATCATTACCCGACGGAAGAAGACATAACGACAAACAAGGACTACAATGACGATGAGGAAGAAATTTGCCGTCAGAGCACGAATTCTGACACTCGTAGGTAACAAGTTTTGTGTCGAGTCGGACTGGAAAGCTTCCACAGAAGGTGATATTACCATACTGCCTCCATGCTCCACTACAGCCTGGCCTAGAACCTGTGACAGAGAACCAATCACCCTGACAGCATTGGAGAGGAAAACAAGTACAGGCACAGCAAGGCACGTGAGGAGAAAAAGGCAGGCCATTAAAACCACTGTACGATGTCTTTGTAATGTGTTTAACAACACTATCACAAGTAATGTAACATACATATGAATGTTATGGACTGAGGGCAGGAGCATTCTCATCCAGTCATTGTTTCTTTGCCGGACTGGTTGCCACGGATCCTGACCTAATCTGTCAGGCAACCTCAACACAGATGAGTTTATCTCAGGAAGTCTATGGAAAGAGTTGTTATGGAATTTCCGCTCCATACTTTGACGTTTCTTGTAGAGTCCAGTATACTGAGTCTTCAGATCTCGGGCAAACTCTTCAACAGAACAAAATACTTTTATATGGGATAAATCCTGTGTATGTATGAGTTATATATTCTACACGAGGAATTTTATACCCGAATTACAGATATATAGGATAAATCCTGTGTATGTACGAGTTATATATTCTACACGAGGAATTCTATACCCGATTATTCTTGAGTCATTGACAGAATCTACCATATTCCTGGATACTGTACCTTTTCCTCACCATGTACAAATAAACTTTGAAATCATCAGACAAAAGCACTATACCTCACAAGCTTGTGTAATCATTTATTTTGTTCAGTTTTAAACATCAAATGAAACCACAGATTATTCATATTTCCAAAGAACTTTTTTCTGTTTTCTCAAAAATTATCTGAGTATCAACTGACAATATTTATGCTTATCAGAGTTTCCAGTAAACTATGTATGTATAAATAATGACAAGTAGAAGTTTGACAAGAGGCCCAGTTGGCCTGCAGCATTCACCATTAATATGTGGCTATAAGTATATAGTCATTTGTTAAGCTATCAAGTTGGTTATCCTTATTTTCAACATCAGACAACAAGTCTTAAATACAATTTTACTTCACTTGTAGATTTTTATATTCTTTTATATTCAAAGTGACAAGATTGTCCTCACTTTCTACCGTAGAGTCATTAATTTATTTTGTTCATTTCATGGGAACTGTTAATCCACAAATTCATTTGCCCAAAATTTCTTGTGACACGTATACCCAGTTGTAAGTAGGTATTTGAATTATATCTATGTATCAAATCAAACTTCTACAAAATAGGATTTAAAAAAAATAACATGAAAACTGAGCCCCATTTGAATGACAGACTTGACTGCAGTGAGTCTCCATCGTAGGATCCACAGGAGACGTCTAAAAATATCCAGGTGATAAAAATATGTGTTAAATAATTGTAGTATTGTAAGTGTAGAACATAAATAACACGAGAGTAATAACTATTAATAACAGTGTCACTGATGGTTGGATTTGATATCCAGCTTCTAGTTCCATTTTTAAAATCATAACGTGATAAATGTGCTATATTTAGTCTGTCAAACTTTGAACTGGTTATGGGTAATTTCCATTGGTAAGAAAGGGTCTGTCAAAGGTACAGAACATCCAGAAACTGTCTGGAATTTTCCTTCAGTTTTAATGTCCACCAAAATCTAATCCGGTAAACCTTGATGGTGCAAATCTCACCTAGTCACACAAACTGTTAATTCCAAATCGGTCAAGTGTGACATTTGACCTTTAATCTTGACCCATGACCACCAAAGTATAATCAGATGTAGGAATTGATAGTGTAAGTATGTTGAGTGTGTCACAAAATATCTTTGTGCCACACAGGTAAAGATGGAGACATGCACATTTGGTATGGACACCTCCCCTACAATCAAGTACATTTTCCAGAGGGTACAATATTTATATCTTGAAACAACCCCTTTGTACACATCGTTCCAACAATAAAATGACCTTGTTTACTCATACACTTTTAAACAATATCTTACTATACTTACTTTCTTCAGCATGACATTTGACAATGACCTGTCTACACAGAGGACAGGGTGTCTTCACTGGTTTTGTCTTCGCCAAGCGCCGCAGACACATTTCACAGAAAATATGGCCACATGGGCTGGTTCTCATTGGATGACAGTACAAGTCAAAGCATATTGGACAGGTGTGTTCCTCTGGAAATACTGGGTCAACATCCTCATTCTAAAAATAGATATCAGAAAAGATTCTACATGAAAAAAGGTGTGCTTACAAATAACAGGATTTAACTAATTTATCATATGTCACCTCTACATGTGTCACTTAGTTAATAGCTCAACATGTGTCACCTAGTTAATACATCAACATGTGTCACTTAGTTAATACCTCAACATGTGTCACTTTGTCAATACCTCCACATGTGTCACCTAGTTAATATCTCAACATGTGTCACTTAGTTAATACCTCAACATGTGTCACCTAGTCAAAACCTCAACATGTGTCACCTAGTCAATACCTCAACATGTGTCACCTAGTCAATATCTCAACATGTGTCACCTACTTAATACCTCAACATGTGTCACTTAGTTAATACCTCCACATGTGTCACCTAGTTAATACCTCAACATGTGTCACTTAGTTAATACCTCCACATGTGTCACCTAGTCAATATCTCAACATGTGTCACCTACTTAATACCTCAACATGTGTCACTTAGTTAATACCTCCACATGTGTCACCTAGTTAATACCTCAACATGTGTCACCTAGTTAATACCTCAACATGTGTCACTTAGTTAATACCTCCACATGTGTCACCTAGTTAATACCTCAACATGTGTCACCTAGTTAATACCTCAACATGTGTCACCTACTTAATACCTCAACATGTGTCACTTAGTTAATACCTCCACATGTGTCACCTAGTCAATATCTCAACATGTGTCACCTACTTAATACCTCAACATGTGTCACTTAGTTAATACCTCCACATGTGTCACCTAGTTAATACCTCCACATGTGTCACCTAGTCAATATCTCAACATGTGTCACCTACTTAATACCTCAACATGTGTCACTTAGTTAATACCTCAACATGTGTCACCTAGTTAATACCTCAACATGTGTCACCTAGTTAATACCTCAACATGTGTCACCTACTTAATACCTCAACATGTGTCACTTAGTTAATACCTCCACATGTGTCACCTAGTTAATACCTCAACATGTGTCACCTAGTTAATACCTCAACATGTGTCACCTACTTAATACCTCAACATGTGTCACTTAGTTAATACCTCAACATGTGTCACCTAGTTAATACCTCAACATGTGTCACCTAGTTAATACCTCAACATGTGTCACCTACTTAATACCTCAACATGTGTCACTTAGTTAATACCTCCACATGTGTCACCTAGTTAATACCTCAACATGTGTCACCTAGTTAATACCTCAACATGTGTCACCTAGTTAATACCTCAACATGTGTCACCTACTTAATACCTCAACATGTGTCACTTAGTTAATACCTCCACATGTGTCACCTAGTCAATATCTCAACATGTGTCACCTACTTAATACCTCAACATGTGTCACTTAGTTAATACCTCCACATGTGTCACCTAGTTAATACCTCCACATGTGTCACCTAGTCAATATCTCAACATGTGTCACCTACTTAATACCTCAACATGTGTCACTTAGTTAATACCTCCACATGTGTCACCTAGTTAATACCTCAACATGTGTCACTTAGTTAATACCTCCACATGTGTCACCTAGTCAATATCTCAACATGTGTCACCTACTTAATACCTCAACATGTGTCACTTAGTTAATACCTCCACATGTGTCACCTAGTTAATGCCTCAACATGTGTCACCTAGTTAATACCTCAACATGTGTCACTTAGTTAATACCTCAACATGTGTCACCTACTTAATACCTCAACATGTGTCACCTAGTCAATACCTCCACATGTGTCACCTAGTCAATACCTCAACATGTGTCACCTAGTCAATATCTCAACATGTGTCACTTAGTTAATACCTCCACATGTGTCACTTAGTTAATACCTCCACATGTGTCACTTAGTTAATACCTCCACATGTGTCACCTAGTTAATACCTCAACATGTGTCACCTAGTCAATACCTCAACATGTGTCACCTAGTCAATATCTCAACATGTGTCACCTACTTAATACCTCAACATGTGTCACTTAGTTAATACCTCCACATGTGTCACCTAGTTAATACCTCAACATGTGTCACTTAGTTAATACCTCCACATGTGTCACCTAGTCAATATCTCAACATGTGTCACCTACTTAATACCTCAACATGTGTCACTTAGTTAATACCTCCACATGTGTCACCTAGTTAATACCTCAACATGTGTCACCTAGTTAATACCTCAACATGTGTCACTTAGTTAATACCTCAACATGTGTCACCTAGTCAATACCTCAACATGTGTCACCTAGTCAATACCTCAACATGTGTCACCTAGTCAATACCTCAACATGTGTCACCTAGTCAATACCTCAACATGTGTCACCTAGTTAATATTGGTAGGTATTTACCAATTAAAGATATATTTTCCATATTGGTAGTTGTTGTCCCAAACTGTTAAAATCTAATTATTAATGTGATGATGTGTTTATTAATTGTTATAATATAGATATACAAGGCCCAATAGACCTGTAACACTCACCTGTACCGCAGCTTATGAGGAGACTTTGGAGAATTTATATTTGTTATTTCAAGTGAAGTTTCATGGCCTGTCTTCTTTTTTATAAAACTTTTGACTCTTGTTACTTGAAAGTGAGTAAACATCATGACCATGTGCCTATTGGTTATTGAGAACAAGTCATTTCAAAAGGTCAACCGGTTTGACCTTTATGACCTTGAAGGTATATCAAAGCCATTCACTTGAACAATCGAGAAAGCAGGCTGGACATCCTGACCCTGGACATTTTGGTGACCCAGTGTTCTGCTTACATATTGAGAGTTACTAGGGGTGATAGCAGATACACATACCTCTTCATGATCAGCTCGCGAGGCTGCACTGTTTCGTTTTCCTCGTCTGTGACCATTTTTATGGTTGAACCTTCCTGAAGATTTCTTATGTCTCTGGCTGCCCTCAGAACCCTCTGTGGTACTGGGACCTGGGTCATCAGAAATCTCCAAGAGACCTAGATCTACAGACAACAAGTTATGTCCCTGATCTGACACCAAAGTATGGCCTTGACTTTCAGATAACAAGTTATGTTCCTGATCTGACACCAAAGTATGACCTTGACCTTCAGGTAACAAGTTATGTTCCTGATCTGACAACAAAGTATGACCTTGACCTTCAGGTAAGAAGTTATGTTCCTGATCAGACACCAAAGTATGACCTTGACCTTCAGGTAAGAAGTTATGTTCCTGATCTGACACTGAGCTATGACCTTGACCTTCAGGTAATAAGTTATGATCCTGCTCTGACACCAAAGTATGACCTTGACCTTCAGGTAACAAGTTATGTTCCTGATCTGACAACAAAGTATGACCTTGACCTTCAGGTAAGAAGTTATGTTCCTGATCTGACACTGAGCTATGACCTTGACCTTCAGGTAATAAGTTATGATCCTGATCTGACACCAAAGTATGACCTTGACCTTCTGGTAACAAGTTATGACTCTGATCTGACACCAAGCTATGACCTTGACCTTTGGATAACAAGTAAACACCCTGATCTGCCACTGACTTATGACCTTGACCTTCAGATAACAAGTTATGACCCTGATCTGACACTGAGCTTTGACCTTGACCTACAGGTAACAAGTAAAATTCCTGATCTGATGCTGAGATATGGCTCTGACTGTCATGTAACAAGTTATGACCCTGACCTGGCCCTGAGTTTATACCCTGACTTGACTCTGAACATGCCTCAGGTTTTGTGACTTTGTGAGACAGACTTCTTCCTCCTACAACACAAGAGATTCAGGATAAATACAGCAACATTACGATGAACTTGTCACTTTCTGGTTTCTTTTAATACCTGTGTGTTACAGAAAATAAAGTTTCTCCATACAAATGTAGTACAATGAAATACAAAGGTGGGTGAAAATCACTCGGTATCCAAGAAGTTTGTATTACAATATAGACATTTGTGTCCCAATCCATTGTACATTATATATCACCTCATGGTCCATACCAAATACAACCTAAGTGTTTTCAGTTTGTCTGATGGGAGAGGCTTTTTGAAGGATTCTTGACAAATGAGGAAAAACACACATTCAGCCTCAGTATCAGATACAATCTTACCATGTGGTTGTTGTTGTGGATTCGCAGTCAGCTGTGGGTTATCTCCCTTGTTGATTACATTCCTTTCCTCACTTAACATGTCATGATTTTGCTCTGTATCTTCACCTCTCATTCTTCCTTGCTCTGAGACCTGTGTAACAGGCGGTGTAATAAGGTCAACACGACCCTGTAGTATGTGGACAGGAGGAACTGTGAACTCTGCACATGCACATTTCACTGTCTTCGTAAAATTAAATGATCCGAGACGACCTCCACACTTTGGGCAATGTAACTTGCCTTTGGTCCATAAGGCCTGAAATGTAGATTAATTAAGTGTATACAGTAGTGGTCCTTCTGTAACTTCAACAGCTGTTATTGATATTTCATATGACAGCTTCAGTATACAAGTAATGAACTTCAATGTCCAGATAAACTATCAAGGTCTTGTGATGACCCACATCAGTATTATAATCAGTCCCCTCTAGCTGTATATACAGTGATGACCCACATCAGTATTATAATCAGTCCCCTCTAGCTGTATAGACAGTGATGACCCACATCAGTATTATAATCAGTCCCCTCTAGCTGTATAGACAGTGATGACCCACATCAGTATTATAATCAGTCCCCTCTAGCTGTATAGACAGTGATGACCCACATCAGTATTATCATCAGTCCCCTCTAGCTGTATAGACAGTGATGACCCACATCAGTATTATAATCAGTCCCCTCTAGCTGTATAGACAGTGATGACCCACATCAGTCATATGTATAGACAGTGATGTCCCCTCTAGCTGTATAGACAGTGATGACCCACATCAGTATTATAATCAGTCCCCTCTAGCTGTATAGACAGTGGGTCATATCAGTCCCCTCTAGCTGTATAGACAGTGGGTCATATCAGTCCCCTCTAGCTGTATAGACAGTGATGACCCACATCAGTATTATCATCAGTCCCCTCTAGCTGTATAGACAGTGATGACCCACATCAGTATTATCATCAGTCCCCTCTAGCTGTATAGACAGTGATGACCCACATCAGTATTATAATCAGTCCCCTCTAGCTGTATAGACAGTGGGTCATATCAGTCCCCTCTAGCTGTATAGACAGTGATGACCCACATCAGTATTATCATCAGTCCCCTCTAGCTGTATAGACAGTGATGACCCACATCAGTATTATAATCAGTCCCCTCTAGCTGTATAGACAGTGATGACCCACATCAGTATTATAATCAGTCCCCTCTAGCTGTATAGACAGTGATGACCCACATCAGTATTATAATCAGTCTTCTCTAAGAATAAAAAGGAAAAAAAAATTTAAAATAAAAAAGAAATGAAGATTGAGAGGCCAAATTTAATCTTTTCCTATGAACACAGAGGTTAAGATGTGTCAGGTTAAAAATCTGGGAATGTTGGTTGGTGCAGTCCTATGTAAAGTGTTACCATAGTAAGTAATTCCTCACTGTTTTAATAGCCTTCAATATCCAGGCTGGAGCAGATTCTTCATTGATGTACCATACAGTTTCCATGGCAACATCTGTACAGGAATCGTCAGATGGCATCATGGTAGCTCCACCTACAACATCTGACATATTACCAATGATATATATACAACAACATGTTTCTGAAAATGAAATGTCTCTCATAGTAACTATCTATTAATGTTTATAAAAGTAAAAAACTGAAATATTCATAATGTATATAATTTTCATGACATGGAGCTGATAATCAGTTGAAAATATTGCGACAAAAAAAAGAAATTGACAATATCTTAGTGTTATTTGTTCTATAGAAGATGACTGTTTACTATTTGTTCTGTAGAAGATGACTGTTTACTATTTGTTCTATAGAAGATGACTGTTTACTATTTGTTCTATAGAAGATGACTGTTTACTGCTATTTGTTCTGTAGAAGATGACTGTTTACTGCTATTTGTTCTATAGAAGATGACTGTTTACTGCTATTTGTTCTATAGAAGATGACTGTTTACTGCTATTTGTTCTGTAGAAGATGACTGTTTACTATTTGTTCTATAGAAGATGACTGTTTACTGCTATTTGTTCTATAGAAGATGACTGTTTACTGCTATTTGTTCTGTAGAAGATGACTGTTTACTGCTATTTGTTCTGTAGAAGATGACTGTTTACTGTTATTTGTTCTATAGAAGATGACTGTTTACTGCTATTTGTTCTATAGAAGATGACTGTTTACTGCTATTTGTTCTGTAGAAGATGACTGTTTACTGTTCTATAGAAGATGACTGTTTACTGCTATTTGTTCTGTAGAAGATGACTGTTTACTGCTATTTGTTCTATAGAAGATGACTGTTTACTGCTATTTGTTCTGTAGAAGATGACTGTTTACTAGCTTTGTTCTTGACTGTTTACTGCTATTTGTTCTGTAGAAGATGACTGTTTACTGCTATTTGTTCTGTAGAAGATGACTGTTTACTGCTATTTGTTCTGTAGAAGATGACTGTTTACTGCTATTTGTTCTGTAGAAGATGACTGTTTACTGTTATTTGTTCTATAGAAGATGACTGTTTACTGCTATTTGTTCTATAGAAGATGACTGTTTACTGCTATTTGTTCTGTAGAAGATGACTGTTTACTATTTGTTCTGTAGAAGATGACTGTTTACTGCTATTTGTTCTGTAGAAGATGACTGTTTACTGCTATTTGTTCTGTAGAAGATGACTGTTTACTGCTATTTGTTCTGTAGAAGATGACTGTTTACTATTTGTTCTATAGAAGATGACTGTTTACTGCTATTTGTTCTGTAGAAGATGACTGTTTACTTCTATTTGTTCTGTAGAAGATGACTGTTTACTGCTATTTGTTCTGTAGAAGATGACTGTTTACTGCTATTTGTTCTGTAGAAGATGACTGTTTACTGCTATTTGTTCTGTAGAAGATGACTGTTTACTATTTGTTCTATAGAAGATGACTGTTTACTATTTGTTCTGTAGAAGATGACTGTTTACTATTTGTTCTGTAGAAGATGACTGTTTACTATTTGTTCTGTAGAAGATGACTGTTTACTGCTATTTGTTCTGTAGAAGATGACTGTTTACTGCTATTTGTTCTGTAGAAGATGACTGTTTACTGCTATTTGTTCTGTAGAAGATGACTGTTTACTGCTATTTGTTCTGTAGAAGATGACTGTTTACTATTTGTTCTGTAGAAGATGACTGTTTACTGCTATTTGTTCTGTAGAAGATGACTGTTTACTATTTGTTCTGTAGAAGATGACTGTTTACTGCTATTTGTTCTGTAGAAGATGACTGTTTACTGCTATTTGTTCTGTAGAAGATGACTGTTTACTGCTATTTGTTCTGTAGAAGATGACTGTTTACTGCTATTTGTTCTGTAGAAGATGACTGTTTACTATTTGTTCTGTAGAAGATGACTGTTTACTGCTATTTGTTCTGTAGAAGATGACTGTTTACTGCTATTTGTTCTGTAGAAGATGACTGTTTACTGCTATTTGTTCTGTAGAAGATGACTGTTTACTGCTATTTGTTCTGTAGAAGATGACTGTTTACTGCTATTTGTTCTGTAGAAGATGACTGTTTACTGCTATTTGTTCTGTAGAATGACTGTTTACTGTTCTGTAGAAGATGACTGTTTACTATTTGTTCTGTAGAAGATGACTGTTTACTGCTATTTGTTCTGTAGAAGATGACTGTTTACTGCTATTTGTTCTGTAGAAGATGACTGTTTACTGCTATTTGTTCTGTAGAAGATGACTGTTTACTATTTGTTCTGTAGAAGATGACTGTTTACTGCTATTTGTTCTTTTTACTGTTTTGTTCTGTAGAAGATGACTGTTTACTGCTATTTGTTCTGTAGAAGATGACTGTTTACTGCTATTTGTTCTGTAGAAGATGACTGTTTACTATTTGTTCTGTAGAAGATGACTGTTTACTGCTATTTGTTCTGTAGAAGATGACTGTTTACTGCTATTTGTTCTGTAGAAGATGACTGTTTACTATTTGTTCTGTAGAAGATGACTGTTTACTGCTATTTGTTCTGTAGAAGATGACTGTTTACTATTTGTTCTGTAGAAGATGACTGTTTACTATTTGTTCTGTAGAAGATGACTGTTTACTGCTATTTGTTCTGTAGAAGATGACTGTTTACTATTTGTTCTATAGAAGATGACTGTTTACTATTTGTTCTGTAGAAGATGACTGTTTACTATTTGTTCTGTAGAAGATGACTGTTTACTGCTATTTGTTCTGTAGAAGATGACTGTTTACTGCTATTTGTTCTGTAGAAGATGACTGTTTACTGCTATTTGTTCTGTAGAAGATGACTGTTTACTATTTGTCTATTGTAGAAGATGACTGTTTACTGTTCTGTAGAAGATGACTGTTTACTGCTATTTGTTCTGTAGAAGATGACTGTTTACTATTTGTTCTGTAGAAGATGACTGTTTACTGCTATTTGTTCTGAAGATGACTGTTTAGATTTGTTCTGTAGAAGATGACTGTTTACTGCTATTTGTTCTGTAGAAGATGACTGTTTACTGCTATTTGTTCTGTAGAAGATGACTGTTTACTGCTATTTGTTCTGTAGAAGATGACTGTTTACTATTTGTTCTGTAGAAGATGACTGTTTACTGCTATTTGTTCTGTAGAAGATGACTGTTTACTGCTATTTGTTCTGTAGAAGATGACTGTTTACTGTTATTTGTTCTGTAGAAGATGACTGTTTACTATATTTGTTCTGTAGAAGATGACTGTTTACTATTTGTTCTGTAGAAGATGACTGTTTACTATTTGTTCTGTAGAAGATGACTGTTTACTGTTATTTGTTCTGTAGAAGATGACTGTTTACTATTTGTTCTGTAGAAGATGACTGTTTACTGCTATTTGTTCTGTAGAAGATGACTGTTTACTGCTATTTGTTCTGTAGAAGATGACTGTTTACTGCTATTTGTTCTATAGAAGATGACTGTTTACTATTTGTTCTGTAGAAGATGACTGTTTACTATTTGTTCTGTAGAAGATGACTGTTTACTATTCTGTATTTTTACTGTTTTGTTCTGTAGAAGATGACTGTTTACTGCTATTTGTTCTGTAGAAGATGACTGTTTACTGCTTTGTTCTGTAGAAGATGACTGTTTACTGCTATTTGTTCTGTAGAAGATGACTGTTTACTGCTATTTGTTCTGTAGAAGATGACTGTTTACTGGTATTTGTTATGTAGAAGATGAGTGTTTACTGCTATTTGTTCTGTAGAAGATGACTGTTTACTGTTCTGTAGAAGATGACTGTTTACTGCTATTTGTTCTGTAGAAGATGACTGTTTACTGCTATTTGTTCTGTAGAAGATGACTGTTTACTGCTTTTGTTCTGTAGAAGATGACTGTTTACTGCTTCTGTTTGTTCTGTTCTGTAGAAGATGACTGTTTACTGCTATTTGTTCTGTAGAAGATGACTGTTTACTGCTATTTGTTCTGTAGAAGATGACTGTTTACTGCTATTTGTTCTGTAGAAGATGACTGTTTACTGCTATTTGTTCTGTAGAAGATGACTGTTTACTGCTATTTGTTCTGTAGAAGATGACTGTTTACTGCTATTTGTTCTGTAGAAGATGACTGTTTACTGCTATTTGTTCTATAGAAGATGACTGTTTACTGCTATTTGTTCTATAGAAGATGACTGTTTACTATTTGTTCTATAGAAGATGACTGTTTACTGCTATTTGTTCTGTAGAAGATGACTGTTTACTGCTATTTGTTCTGTAGAAGATGACTGTTTACTGCTATTTGTTCTGTAGAAGATGACTGTTTACTGCTATTTGTTCTGTAGAAGATGACTGTTTACTGCTATTTGTTCTGTAGAAGATGACTGTTTACTATTTGTTCTGTAGAAGATGACTGTTTACTGCTATTTGTTCTGTAGAAGATGACTGTTTACTGCTATTTGTTCTGTAGAAGATGACTGTTTACTATTTGTTCTGTAGAAGATGACTGTTTACTATTTGTTCTGTAGAAGATGACTGTTTACTGCTATTTGTTCTGTAGAAGATGACTGTTTACTATTTGTTCTGTAGAAGATGACTGTTTACTGTTCTGTAGAAGATGACTGTTTACTTTTGTTCTGTAGAAGATGACTGTTTACTGTTCTATTTGTTTACTATTTGTATAGAAGATGACTGTTTACTGATTTGTTCTGTAGAAGATGACTGTTTACTATTTGTTCTGTAGAAGATGACTGTTTACTGCTATTTGTTCTGTAGAAGATGACTGTTTACTGCTATTTGTTCTGTAGAAGATGACTGTTTACTGCTATTTGTTCTGTAGAAGATGACTGTTTACTATTTGTTCTGTAGAAGATGACTGTTTACTGCTATTTGTTCTGTAGAAGATGACTGTTTACTGCTATTTGTTCTGTAGAAGATGACTGTTTACTGCTATTTGTTCTGTAGAAGATGACTGTTTACTGCTATTTGTTCTGTAGAAGATGACTGTTTACTGCTATTTGTTCTGTAGAAGATGACTGTTTACTGCTATTTGTTCTGTAGAAGATGACTGTTTACTATTTGTTCTGTAGAAGATGACTGTTTACTATTTGTT